AGCGCCCTCCTCTCCTCCCTCCCTCTTCTCCTCCCCCGCCTCCTCCTCCTCCTCCTCCTCCTCCTCCTCCTCCTCGTCCATTCCGTTCCCTCCGTCGGCTTCCTCGGCGACCCTCTTCCCTTCACAGCTCTGGGCCAGCACCCCTAGTGAAGTTCCCCCGCCCTCGGAGAGGGGACGGGGGGGGGGGCAGAAGGAGGGGGCCCACGGCTGGCGGAGGGAACGAGATGGGGGCCCACGGAGGGGGTCCACGAGGGGGCTCCGCGGAGGGGGCTCACGGCGGAGGGGGTTGGGGGGCGCCCAGAGGGGGGGGGGGCCCACCGTGGACCCCCTCCGTGGGGCAGAAAGAGGGGGCCCACGGAGGGGGGGGGGAGAAGGGGAGATCTGGCGAAGGGAGGAGGGAGGCAGGACAGGAAGGGAGGGAGGGAGGGAGGGAGGCCAGGAGGGAGGGAGGGAGGCGGGATGGAGGGAGGGAGGAATGGAGGGAGGGAAAAGGGCTGGACGGAGGGAGGGGTGCAGGACGGAGGAGCGAAGGGGGGCGGAAGGATGCAGGGAGCCACAGAAGGAGGAGTGTAGGGACGCGCACACACAAAAACATAGAGACACACACACAGACACGCACGCACGCACGCACCCACGCACGCACACGCACACGCACACGCGCACACACACACACACACACGCACACACGCACACACACCACACCACACCACACACCCACACACGCACACCCCGCACACGCAACACGCACACCCCACACGCCACCCACCCCCACCCACCACCCACCCACCCAACCACACACCCACCCCCACCCACCCACCACACCACCCACCCCACCCCCACACCCACCCACACACCCACCCACGCACGCACGCACCACGCACCCACGCACCCACGCACCCACGCACGCACGCACGCACGCACGCACGCACGCACGCACGCACGCACGAACACGCACGCACGAACACGCACGCACACACGAACACGCACGCACACGCACGCACGAACACACACGCACGCACGAACACACACGCACGCACGAACACACACGCACGCACGAACACACACGCACGCACGAACACACACACACACACACACACACGCACGCACGCACACACACACACACCGACACACCGACACACCGAGAAGGAAGCAGTGACTGCGATCCCCCTGGCAGCTCGAGGCAGACCGGGGGGCGCGAGCCTGGGAGCCACGCCGGCGGGGCCGGCGGGCCCGTGGGCGCGGGCGCGGCGCGGCGCTGCAGCAGCGAGACGCAGGCGCCGTGCGCCTCTCGTGGTGCGCGGCAGCGGGAGGGGTTCCGACCCCTCCTGCGCAGCGCCGCCGCCTCGTCCGTCCTTCTACAGTCGGCCCGGATCAGAAGGATGCGCGATAAAGATGCAAAGGGCCTCGGAGGCCCATGCCGAAGCTTCTCGAGCGAGGTTGGCCAGCGAAAGTCGCCGAGGACGGGCCGATGGGAAGGTGGCACCTCCTTGCTCTGCGGGTTGACTGCACTTCTGCTGCTCGGTGCTCTCGTCCTGCCTGCTGCTCTGCCTCTCCCCCCCCCTTCCTCCTCCTGGCCTCTGGGGTGCTGCGGCCTGCGCGGCGCACCTGGGCGGTCTGGCACGCCCCAGGGTGCTCTTGTTTGGGTGGGGCTGCTCGTGACGCCCGTCTGGCTCGGGGTCTGGATCCCCAGGCAGTGCGTGCACTCACGGGCTCTTGCTTGTGCTCCGAAAGGGATTGGATGGGTCCTGCGAGGTTTCGCCACGTCGCCACCCGCTGCCGCCTCGTTACCGCCTCGTGCGCTGAGTGGCTCTGGCGAGGTTTCGTGACTTTGCCGCCCTTTGCAGCCTTGTTGCGCTGCCTCGTTGCCAACTCGTGCGCTGGGTGGGTCTGGCGAGGTTTTGCCACGTTGCCGCCCGTCGCCGCCCGATTGCCGCCTCGTTGCCAACTCGTGTGCGGGGTGAGTCCGGCGAGGCTCCGCCACGCTGCCGCCCGTTGCCGCCTCGTGCGCTGGGTGGGTTTGACGAGGTTCCGCCACGTTGCGGCCCGTTGCCGCTTCGTTGCCAGCTGGTGCGCTGGGTGGGTCTGGCGAGGTTTCGCCACGTTGCCGCCCGGTTGCCGCCTGGTTGCCGCCTCGTGCGCTGGGTGGGTCTGGCGAGGACTCGCCACGTTGCCGCCTGGTTGCCGCCTGGCTGCCGCCTCGTGCGCTGGGTGGGATCTGGCGAGATTTCGCCACGTTGCCGCCTGGTTGCCGCTTCGGTGCCGCCTCTAGCTTGCACCACGTACACTGCACAGCGTGGCTTACGCCACATTGCTTGCACCACACTTACACATCCACAGTGCAATAATTTCATCTTTGGGGCCCAAGCAAGCCAACATTTGTTGCTTGAAACGTGGTGGCAGGGTACGGGCCCCAAAGATCGCCGGGTTCTCTGGATGGGGGTCTTGAGTTTTCAGAAGCCATGGCTGGCCTTCGGTGGGCCTGACTCGGAGTCTGCCTGCTCGGACGGAGGTTTGAAGTCGGTTTAGGGCACCACTGCGCTCATAGTAAAACGTGGTTTAGTGAAACCGACGTCGGGCCCGAACCTGGCGGGCGCAAGCATGGAAAATGACGGCCGCGGCGCCCTCTCGAGAACCGAAAACGGATAATTCACTAATCGATGTGTCAGGGTGGGGGTTTTGTCCACCCCCGACTCTTAGAGTCTTGGACGTCCTTCCAGCAAAATCCTGCATGGTCCTCTCTTGCTGCTCCGCCCGCTCCTCACCCCCTTCGCCCCCAACCCATCCTTCGCCATGAGGCGGGCAACGTCAGGGCGGGAACACAAACGGGAGAGAGGGCGCGCGGAACCGCCGTGAAGCCCTCTCTTAATGTGATAATTCGAAATGGTATTCCTCCGCCTTCTACTGCTCCTCCTCCTACTCCTCCTCCTCCTCCTGCTCCTCTCCTCCTCCTCCTCCTCCTCCTCCTCCTCCTCCTCCTCGTCCTCCCCCTCCTCCCCCTCCTCCTCCTCCTCCTCCTCCTTCTCCTCCTCTTTCCCCCGCAGCCCCTTTCTTACTGGTCCGCCCCCTCCCCCCACCTCCCCCTTCGCGCCCCTCCCATTATTCGTCCCTTCTCGTCCCACGCCCAATCGGCGATACATGGCCGATAGATCGACGCTGGGCCCCGATGGTGGATTCGCACGCTCCTGGGCGGGGCGGGTCATCGGGCAACTATGGGGCACGGGTGGGCGATTGGGGGGTCGATGCGCCCACCACTGGGCCTATCCCCTCCCAGGGCTGCCCCTGATCTAAACGAGCGCGTTCCACCACTCGCAAAGTAGCTATTCACAAATGGCCTCCATCCATTGCTAGGGGAACGCAAAGTGACATAAACAGAAAATTTCCGCTGGACCCCCCTCCCCTTGCGCGCTCCGCGCGCCAGGGGCGGCGCCGGAGGCGCCTCCGGGGGGGCCCAGCGCCGATCCGAGAAATTTGCGCGGACCTCCGAGTTTTTATGTTTATGCCACTTTTTGTTCCCCTCATTGCGTCGACGCAAGCAGGCTCCGCTGCATCGAACAGCGCTCGCTTTTGATGACGCTGCCGAGGAGGCACTTCTGCGAGAAGTGCATCGCGCAGCCCCGGGCCGTGGGGCGGCGGCCGTGCCGACCACGCCCCCAGCGGCCACGGGTGCAAGAACCGGGCGACGGCGCCAGAGGAGGGAGGGGCGCCGGAGAAGGCAGAGGAGGGAGAGGCGCCAGAGGAAGCCCCTCAAGGATGGGGGAGGAGGGGGAGGAGGAGGAGGAGGAAGAGGAGAAGGACAAGGAGGAGGAGGAGGACGAGGAGGAGGACGACGAGGAGGACGAGGAGGAGGACGAGGACGCGAGAAGTGGAACCTCCTCGGCAAGCCCTCCCCGGAGCGCCGGCCGCCTCGGGAGCAGCCAGCCACGGGGCGAGAGCGGGCGGGAGCCGCGCGGGCAGCTGCCTCCCCGGCTCCTGCGCGCCAGTGGGCGGGAGGAGGTTCGGGAGCCTGCCCAGGATCTGCGGCGCCCCTGCTACCAGAGCTGGAACTAAACACTGCATATGTTTGAGAGGCGATGTTGGTTTTCTCTACTTAATTCGAGCTGAAAGAAACACCAATCGACAGGACATGATGAAACGCGCTAGTCTAAAGTATCTAGACCAGGGGGGTAACAAGAGGGGGCGAGCCTCCTCGGAAGGCTCAAGTCGAGGGCAGGCAACCCTCCCCCATCATAACCGCCCCGACAAGCAAGGCCGTGTGGTACACGCACCCACAGGAGGAATCGAACAGGACAGGACTGTTTAGTAAACGCACAGGGCCGTGGAGCAAACGCCGATCATCGGGTCCAGGTGGTCCTCTTCTTCCTCCTCCTCCTCCTCCTCCTCCTCCTCTTACACCCCTCCCTCCTCCTCCTCGTCCTCCTCCTCCCCCTTCTCATCCTTCCCTCCTCCTCCTCCTCCTCCTCTCCTCCCTCCTCCCCCCCCCCTCCCCTCCCCTCCTCCCCCTCCTCCTCCTCCTCCTCCTCCTCCTCCTCTTTCTTCCCTTGAGCAAAGGGCCTCTGGCCCTCTGAGGGACCTCTCTGGGCCCTCTCCTGCGCCGCGGAGGGCCTCGGAGGCGGCAGGAGGGCTTCTGAGAAGCCCCGCCGCCTTGTGTTTTGGGCGCCTGGGGGCCCCCCCTCTGTCAGTTAAAGCTGTGCGCGGCCCGCTTAGCTTCGACCGGAAGAGGCTCGCTCTCGACCCGCGGATCAAAAAAGTACTGGACGCCCGGAATGGGCACGGAAAGAATGGGCACCATGCCCAGCAACAAGTGTTGCTCCAGGCCACCAGCGGCCGCTGTTGGGCAGACGGCCTCCTGCCTCACAAGGGCACAGGCCGCGGCGGCGCGGGCAGCGGGTCCTGCTCAGAATGAACAGGAACTGCTGTTGGGCATTGTACCCATTCTTTCCGTGCCCATGTCGTTCGTGCAGATCTGTGGAGGCCTGACCCCTCTCTCACACTCCCCCCCCCTGCGCGCGCCGCCGATTCCGCAGGGAGGACGGTGCCGACGAGTCGCTCTGGCAGAGCGCGGGGCGAGCGCTCCGTGCCAAGCGAGCGCGTGCGGCGTGCTCGCGACGGCGACGGACACGAGGATGGCGCGGACAGCTGCGAGAACCCTGCGCGCCTGCCAGGGAGCACGCAGACACGTGCGGTCTCTATTCCAGCGCTGCCTGTGCTCTACCCTGCTCTTCATTGCAGGCGCACGATGTAACGCATGACACAGGGAATGGTACGACGATGGCTCCTGCCATCTTCAACGAGCAGCACACATATTGCAAGCATTTGCGCGGATTCCATTACACAATCACGCGAACCCATCACACAACACCATTGGGTAGAGGAGGCTGCGTCGAGAGGCTGCGTCTGCTGACCGGTTGCGCCTGCCGACCTGCTGCGTCTGCCATGCAACACAACAGCTCAAAAGAGGCTGCGCCCTGCGCCTGCTGATCTAGCCATCCGCACAAGTACTTACCAACACAGTGACACATGACAAGTAAGTCGGACAATGCACACGCAGATGAGCAATGCCGATCGCGAGCGACTTGGGCAGTCCCATCGCATCGATGGGGATTACTTGGTCTAAGGATAAGAAAAGATACGCAGAAATGCCTGGCCGCTGGGCGGCAATTTCACGTTATGACCATGGCAACGATGACGGAGATTCGGTTGTATGGCATCGGAGGGAAAGCCATGCTACATACCTGACCTAGTCAAACCACCGCACCCGGATTATCCGTGGAGCGCTGCATGCATGATGCGAATTGCCCGCCCAAACGGGCATGGCGTGGCACAGTACAGGGCGAGCCTGATGTTTCGCATACTTGCGTTGCATCAGGTGCCGACACAGGCTACTCAAGCGCGTGTCTCACTCTCTGTAGCACTTAGTTCGCCGCAAGACATCTATCCGATGTCATCTTCGTGAAGGGTGTTCTTAGGCGGTGGACCTGGGCAGCGCAAGTCCAAGGTTCCGGGCTGGTAGTGCATCTTGATAGCCGCGGGAGTCTGCCAGTCATCTCTCCACTTCTGAACCTTGCCAGTGCGGCGGTCGCGCATGCTTCCTGCTGGTGAGGACCGTTCTGGGAGCAGTTCGAAGCCCCCCTTGTCGGTCGACAGAGGACCCCTTGACTTCATTGATGGCTCAGGCTGGGCGAGCTTCTTTGCGGCGTTCTTGAAGCCACGGTGCGTATCGAAGTACCGCGTCAATTCTGGGAGGGATTGGGGTCTGGAGAAGTACTGCCGCTGACCCGGGTGGCTATTCGGGTTGGGGTTCGCCCCTGCGTTGAAGCGCTGGTTCCACTTGTAGCCGCTCTTTTTGTTCTGCCGCGCCGGGTGAGGAAAAGTCGCGAACGAGGCTGCTACTGAGAGCGGCACTTCAGGAGAGCCGTGGTGACGATAGAAGGTTGGCCAGGGCCCGGGCCCCCCGACGGAACTTGAAGGACGCACGGGGCTCCTCCCCCATGCGAACCGACCCATCCCGACGGCGGGGCCCGACTGCAGAAGGAGTGAGAAAGTGGACCGTGGAGCGAGGTGGAGGCAAGACCGACACTATTGTCGAGCAGGGACCGACCGTCCCGGCATTCCTATAGGCCTACCACGAAATATTCTTAGAGCCCCACAATGTCTTAAGAACTAAAACAGTGTTCTTAAAACAAGAACAATGCTCTTAAATTGCCAGACGGTCTCAACCAGAAATGCTCTAAGAACATTTCGTTCGGACCACAACATGATCTTAGAACATTCTTTGGTGGGCCTATGGGCCAGCCGGGACGCCTCGCCACTGCTTGATATTGGCTGGCATGAGAGAATTGGGGGGTCGTGGGCGGAGGAGAGAGGGGACAATACTGGGGCGCTCGCGCCATATCGGACGTGCGCGCCCTGCGCCACGCGGATCAAGCTCACCCTCGCGCCCTCGCGACCCTTCCCCCTGGAGAAAAACACATACCCCTCCAGGCCAGAGCGCAAAGCACAATTATCGTCGGCGAGCCCAAGGGGGGAAGGGAGAAGGGGCGAGCCTTCTCAGAAGGCTGGGAAGCCCCCTGGCCTTTTGAGAAGCCCCGCCGCCTTCTGAGAAGGCCCCTTCTCCCTCTCACTCCACCCCCTCGCTCGCAGCCGAAATTACCCTGGTCCCTTCCCCCCCCCACCTACCCAACTCCGAACGGAGCAGGAGGTACCAAGGAAACCGTCTTTTTGCACGGCCCCCCCGCACAGTAAGAACCAGTTCTTGGCAGCCCTCCGCTGCGGACGTGCGGTTGCGGGAAGGGATCTGCTGTCAGATCCGACGGCTGCGACCAAAAGTTACAACATCACGAAAAATCGCAACCTGAGCCTAGACTCTGTCTTTCTGCAATTTTTCTTAAACCAAATCGATCTGTGACGATCTCGGGGCCCTCAACCGGGCGAGAGCGCCCGATGTGAACAAATGGAACGCCAAGATCTGAGGGCCCAGGGTGGCGGGGAGGTGGGGGGGGGGGCAGGAGGCAGGAGTGCAGGAGGAGGATGGGGCGCTCGTGGCGTGGGGGGACGAGTACTGGGAGGACGAGGAGCAGGGAGGACCTCGAGGAGACAGGCGAGACAGCGGCACGAGTAGCGGCGTGAGGACCTGTCAGGCGCAGGGGCGACGGGGTGGCTCGGCGAGAGCTCTGGCGCGCCCCGCCCTTGCGCTGCGCTTCCGTGGGGGGATCCCATCCCTGGCTCCCTCCACCTCTTTCACTGCACCGACCTCGCAGACGTGCTGCAGCGAGTTTTTGTTGCGTGGGTTTCTGCCAGTGCAAAAAAACCGAAGCGGCGAGCGGAAGACGACGTGATTGTCACGTGGATTCGAAATCCGGAACGGAATTCTCCAGGGCACTCCGGGCCCAGCCTGTTGTTTTCCGAACGAAATCCGCTCTGCGCTGTTGGCGCCAAGACCTCTTCCGCCTTCTCCACCGGAGAAGGGGGCGCGTGCTGGATGCGCGTTTGAGCATCTGTCGCGATGCCTTCGGCCTCGCTCGGGGTCTCCTCCTCCTCCTCCTCTTTCCTGTCCTCGTCCTCCTCCGCTTCCTCCAAGTCAGGAGCTTGTCATGGATCTGGCGTCATCCGCTCGGTGGCAGAACACCCAACAGCATGGCGGCTCGGTGACATCAGCAGATGGGCAGGACAGCCAGCGTGCAAATATCGCGAAAATCGTTTTCGTGAAGAGCAAACTAAAAACCAGAGTGAACGCACAAGACATGAACACTAACACATACCGCTACTAATTGGTCAACCCTGATAGATCAAGCATCCCCAAAGCGCTTCCAAATGAATCTGGCCACCATTTTGGCAATCTTCCTGGAGTGTATGGGAACCTCCTCCCGTGCTTTGCCATCGCTGCAAACGAACGAATCCCGAAATATTGGCTTCACTTCGCCAAGCGACCCCAAATAGAAGGTGACCATGGCACGTTTTATCTCCCCTTTGTCTTAATGCACAACGCTGCACCACACATCACAACACCGCGACCCCGCACCAACGGGGTACGAAACCACGTTCTGCCTACACTACAAAGTCTCCGCAGGACACCATGCGGCCCCACGCGGCACGGCACGATGCAACAACACGCCACGGCACTGCACGAGCACCACTAATCCAACCTTGGCCTCACCGCGCCACAACACCTTGCGGCACGGCACGACGCAACCAAAGCACGGCACATGACACCGAACCACGGTCTGCGTATGACCACACGGACCCGCAGCACCACATGGCACCGCCATGCAAACCACATAACGATTTTCCGAAGGAAGGCCCAAACAGCACGGCACCACGCGGCGGCACACTAGGTTACAGCATAGCAGGTGTCCAATCAAATCCGCCGGCCCCCTTGTGGGGCCACCAGGCTGTAGGGCGAAGGTTCGTGCCAGTTGCAGCTTTCAGTTTCCACTGTTACAATTCTGCTTCTTGCTGCTTACTGTTCCTTGTTGACTTCTTGCTGCTTACTGTTCCTTGTTGATGGACCGCGCGAGGGGGCGAGGCCCAAAACCGGCATTTTTGCCACGCCCTGAGCGTGTGCTCTGAATTGCTGGGTGGGTAAAAATCCACACCCCTCACGCAGATCGGCGGGGTCCGGGTCCAAACGCTTGGGACTTGCCACATTTCTGAAACTCGGTTGCACCATTCACGCAGATCGGCGGGGTCAGGGTCCAAAAACACAGAGGATTTGCCACATGTTTGAAATTTGCTGGCACCCCTCACGCAGATCGGCGGGGTCAGGGTCTAAAAACACATGGGATTTGCTACATTTCTGACGTCCGGTGGCATCCCTCACGCAGATCGGCGGGGTCAGGGTGCAAAAACACAGCGGATTTGCTACATTTCTGAAATTCGCTGGCACCCCTCACGCAGATCGGCAGGGTCAGGGTCCAAAAACACAAGGGATTTGCCACATGTCTAAAAATTCGGCGGCACCCCTCACGCAGATCGGCAAGGTCAGGGTCCAAACATACATGGGATTTGCCACATTTCTGAAATTCGGCGGCACCCCTCACGCAGATCGGCAGGGTCAGGGTCCAAAAACGAAAGGGATTTGCCACATTTCTGAAATTCGGCGGCACCCCCCCCTCACGCAGATCTGTAGGGTCAGGGTCCAAAAAAACACAAGGGACTTGCCACATTTCTGAAATTTGAAGGCTCCCGTGACGCAGATCCGAAGGGTCAGGGTCGAAAAACAAACAGGTCCCGACACTGCTTCACGGCGGCGCCCAGACCTCATGATTTAGCTTTCGCATCTCCCATTATCCGAGACAGGGGGCCGGCGGCATGGGGCGAAGCCCTTACGGATCAAATTTCGCGCACCACCGAACCCCCAAAACGGCACAACCAGGCACGGCACGCCACCATGACACGGCACGGCATGCGTGCAACCAGATCGCATCTTCCTTGCCACAACGCCCCGACCAACAACACAACAGACAGCACGACGCGGCACGGCACCTGCCCAGCCCCAACACGCCGTGGCTGCCACGGGCCAAAAAAATGCTGCACCACGCGGCACGGCGCGGCCCCACAGCAGACCACGGAAAGCGTCCAGCAGCACCACCGCACCGCAAGACCCGGCGCGACACCGCACGCGGCACCTGCCCAAAAATCCACCAGAAAGGCACCACGGGGCGCGCCGCTGCTCCCGCAGCACCTCTCGAGGGCACGGCAGCGGCACGCCGCGTCTGCCCCGAGCATGCCCCTCTCGCCCTCTCGGCCGCTCTCGCCATCGCTCGGACGTCCATTCCCTGCGTTTTTGTTTCGGTTTCGTGCGTGTTATTTTTTGCTCGATGGTCCAGGATGGTCCTCGATGGTTCTCGCCGAGAAAAAATGCACACGTCCGAGCGATGCCAGGCGCTGCGCCGATGCACCGCGGCGAGGGCAACACAGCACCACGGCACGGCACCACCGCCCCAGCAAATCACGCTTCGGGCTCCTCGCTGAGTCACCAAAGCGGCAAGGCAGGCGCTGCAGCTCCGCTCCACTGGGTCGCGCTTCCGGATCGATGTGGCTACCCCAGTGAGCCACGGCACCAAGGCACGGCACTGCACCTCTGCTCCACCAGATCGCGCTGTTGCCGACTCGAGCCCCTTCAAAGTAACAAACCCTTGCCGATCAGCTTTTAGGGGAGTGTTCCACAAGTTCCCCCAGCCACGGGCGACCACATGTGGTTTAGAACCTTCATGCTATCGCGCACGTGCTACATTTACCGTACTGCTGCGGTCCGATGTTATACGCAGTGCAATCACGTCACGACACCTACGACGTATTGACTGCGGCAACAAACACCCGAATTGCGCTTCCTGAAGACCCTATCAAATAATCCTCGTGGTGTCGCTGTTCAATGGCTTCCTAGGTGCCTCAGTAGTCGACTGGCATGCGATACAGTCAACCCGCCTAATAAGGACGCACTATAAGGATGCAAGGGCCTTGGAAGGCCAGCGAAAGTGGCCAAGGATGAGCCGAAGGGGAAGGATGCAAAGGTAACTTTGGAAAATCGATACTTCTCACTATGCGGGTTCACTCTAGGACTGCTGGCATGCTCCAGATCGGAATTGCGCTCGCGCCACGGCCACACACAACCAGAGTTGAGAAAGGGCCCCCCTTGCAACACTTTAATAAAGGGAGACAGGGATCCTCGCTGTGAGCTTAGTGCGACTGGTAGATAAGACGCGCACGCAAACATTCAAACAGTCACCTTTGGACGCATGCGGAGGCTCTGCGTGCCCCTGGTGAGTCCTGGCAACTTCTCCACGGTGCTCTCTGGAGAACGCGACTCTGTCGGGGCGTGCTGTTTGAAGACAGGGTTCTGCGACGTCTGCAGCCACAAGATGTACCCAGCCTTCGAAACCTTCTGCAAACCCCTTATGTCCATTCGCGCCCACTCCCTTTGAAATTCATCCTCCCTTGGCATATGCCCCAAGTAGAACCGGTAGATCTCCCGAAATTCGGATTCGGTGATCGAGTTGTCGCCATCAAGGTCAAACAATGAGAATATCATATCTGCAGTGTGTTTCTTCACGTGGTGCTGCCGCAAGTACAGCATGAAGGCCTTGAACTCCGGAAAGCTCAGCTCGGCATTGTCATTTAGATCAGCTTTCCTCATGCAAAAATTGAGCGCCTGATTCATGTTCATCTCCACCCGTGTGTACAGCGAACCGCCTGTTGTAGCGTTGGTCTGTGGGGCCAAGACACCACGCAATACAGCGCGAAACTCCTCGCAGTCTAATTCTGCTGTGGTGATGTTCTCATCATGATTGCGGTCCATTCTTGCCCACATTCTCTGGCACCATGTGTCATGCTCCTCTGGATCGATTTCTGTGGCCGGATTCTCCGGCTGAGACTTGGGAATGTTCTCCTCCCCGATGACGGAGGTGGAGTGCATGGCAAATCCAGTTTGGCTAAGTACGTCCCAGCCCTGCGCGCCCGAGAGCCCCGCGCACCCGACCTGCTGCCCAGATGGGGCTGCTTGAGCC